TTTTTTTAAAGATTTATTTATTTATGCATATAAGAGCGGGGTACAGGCCAGAGATGTGGGGGGTGAGAGGACTCACCAGAGACAGAGTGGGGACCAGAATAGGCAGATGGACTGAAATACATTGCTGAGGGGAGCAGCGGGCGAGACAGCACAAGGTCTGCTGCACCATGTGGGTTGCTCCCTGCCGGGGATCAAACTCATGCTGCAGAGGCTGTGGATTGCCTCATAGTGCGGTGCTTAACCCCTTGCGCCACCAGGGAGGCCCTGGTTCTTAAATATTTTAAGAATATTTTTAGGTGGGCCTCCCTGGTTGTGTAAGGGGTTAAAGCTCAGCACGATCAAGCCATGCGCAGCCACTGCAATACGAGTTCGATTCCTGGCCAGAGAGCTAATCCACATGGTGCAGCAGACCTCTCCTATTTTGCTTGCTTCTCCCCTTACTATATCTGCCTGTTCTGTTCCCTACTCTGTCTCTGGTGAATCCTTTCATCCCCTGGGCCCCACAACTGTGGCCTACACCCCAGTTCTTGTATGCATAAATAAAAATAAAATCTTAAAAAATATAAATTTTTAGGCACTGAAAATCTTTCTTCAAAGAGAATCTTAAAGAGACCCCAACATATAACAGTTAAAAACAGAATTGCTTTGAGCCTCCCTGGTGGCGCAGCGGTTGAGCGCTGGGTTGCGAAGATGCCTGCAGCCTCTGCAGCACCGGTTCGATCCCCGGCCACCGGGCGAGGGTCCCACATGGCGCGCAAACCTCTCCTGCCGCCTGCTGCTCCTCTAAGTAGTGTATTTCATCCGTCTGCCTGTTCTGGTCCCCGCTCTGACTCTGGTGAATTCTCTCACCCTCCCGCACTTCTGACCTTACCCAGTGCTTTTATAAATAAATAAATTAATTAATTAAAAAACAAAAAACAGAATTGCTTTGGGACCTCCCTGGTGGCTTAAGGGGTTAAGTCTCACCACTTTGAAGCTATTGGCAGCCTTTGCAGGACGAGTTTGATCCAGGGAACTGACCCACATTGCACAGCAGACCTCCCGTCTCTCCCGCTTCTTCCCTCAGCAGTGTATTTCAATCAATCTGCCTGTTCTGCTCCCCACAGTGTCTCTGGTGAATCCTCTCACCTTCCCCCACCCCCACTACACTTCTGGCCTGAACCACAGCTCTTGCATGCAGAAATAAAATAAATCTTTAAAAACAAAAAAAACCAGGGCCTCCCCTGGTGGCGCAGCAGTTGAGCGCTGGGCTGCGAAGCTGCCTGCAGCCTCTGCAGTGCTGGTTCAATCCCCGGCTGCCAGCGAGGGTCCCACATGGTACGGCAGACCTCTTCTGCTTGTATAAATAAATAAATCTTTAAAAAAAAAACAACAACCAGAATTGCTTTGTTGAAGCAAAAGGGAAACCCAAAGCTTTATATCCTCAGCTTCCCTACTCCCTAGGAACCTCCTAGGAACTGAGGACAGAGAAGCAGTTTGAAGATGGCTAATCTACTATATTATGTCCAAGTTCCTACCCAATCTGAAATGAAATGATTCTAATTGATCAATTTAAAATTAAATGTAGGGCCTCCCCGGTGGCGCAGCGGTTGAGCGCTGGGTTGCGAAGCTGCCCGCGGCCTCTGCAGTGCCGGTTCGATCCCCGGCTGCTCCCCGGCCACCGGAGGAGGGTCCCACATGGCGCGCAGACCTCTCCTGCCGCCCGCTGCTCCCCTCAGCAGTGTGCTTCGGTCCTTCTGCCTGCTCTGCTCTCTGCTCTGGCTCTGGTGGATTCTCTCACCCTCCCGTGCTTCTGACTGTACCCAGTGCTTGTATAAATAAATAAATAAATAAATAAATAAAATCTTTTTTAAAAAATTTAAATAAATAAATAAATAAATAAAATTAAATGTAAATAAATAAATAAATAAATTTTAAAAATGTAAAACTACACTAAAATGTAACCACCTGATCTACAGATCTAGATTTACAGTGGGTCAAACAGGGCAATGAGTGTTTTTCTAACCAGAAAGTCAGCATCTCCTAATCTTATCTCCCAGCCTCATCTCAATGGGGACTAGGCATCACCTCCTATGAAATCCATAGGTAAGAGGGGCCTACCTGGTGGCACAAGGGTTAAAGTCTCAGCACTATCAAGCTATCACCACCCACTGCTGCCTGAGTTCAATCCCCAGCCAGGGAGCTAACCCACATGGCATGGCAGACCTCTCCTGTCTCCCCTTCTGCTCCCCTCAGCATTGTATTTCAGTGGGTCCACCTGTTCTGCTCCCTGCTCCCTGCTGTTTCTGGTGAATGCTCTCACCCCGCAGATCCCAGTTCCTGTTATGTATAAAAAATAAACAGACATAAATCTCAAAAAAAAAAAAAAAAAAAAAGGTAAGAGAGACCTCCCTGGTGGCGCTGGGGTTAAAGTCTCACAATCAAGCTACCACCAGCCACCACAACACAAGTTCAATTACTGGCCAGGGAGCTGACCCACAAGACGCAGACCTTTTCTATCACACCCATGGCTCCCCTCAGCTGTGTATTTCAGTCAGTCTACCTGTTTTGCTTCCCATTCTGTCTCTGGTGAATCCTCTCATCTACAGCACCTCTGGTCTACCCCCCAGTTCTTGTATTCATAAATAAATAAATCTTTAAAAAAAGAGAGAGAAAAAAGAAGAACTGTGCTTCCTGCATAGAGTCAACTGAGGACATGCTATTAATGAAACCACACAAAATCTGCATTAAGGAGGGTAGGGGCACTGTTGTAAAACAAAAAATCATAGAGTAAATTTGGGTGTGGCAGAAAGGTCACCAAGGTGCATTGGCTTTGTCATATTGACACCTCCACCTAGTTTAAACAACCTATTCAATCTAGCTAAACATCAGCTTAATTCACTAACAATTAAGGATGGTTAGGAGTCCTTCCCAGCTCTAGAATTCTATGATTCCTTTAAATGCACACCATTTTTAAACATATGTTAGGTATTTTAAAGCTACTACTGCTTGAGGATTTGTTCTCACTTGTAAGAGGCCATCTTCAGCAATAAATCTGGCTCAAAACCAGATATAGTCAACCAAAAAAAAACAACTTACTGAAATCATAAACTAGTTTTCTACTTCAATCTTTATTTCACAAAATTTATGTTTCACAGCCAAGAGAGCAGCATTATAGCCTCTAAACAAGGCAGACATCATCAAAAACAACTCTGAGAAAAGAAATGCAAATAGAAACAAAATTAATGTGGTAACTATTCTCTCCTATGTGTTAGCTGGCTTCTTCCTTGAATGCCCACTGCTAACAAGGTCTGCAATGAATGTGGAGTCACATCTATAATGTGCACAGCACCACGCCGGATACAACCATCATTTGAACTTTAATACACCTGGCTAGAAACCTGCTTTTTTTATCCTCCAAACTCTAAGTGGGAAAAAGCAATATGACCTAGACAGCAAACTTTTCTCATCAAAGCAGAAAGATACTTTCAAGTAACAACATATCAAGAAAATATACACTTTAAAACACATTTCTCAAATCTATCAGATTAAACTGACCTTCCCTTGTATTCATTATCCAGAATGTAAAAGAGAAATTTCTAATCTAGTACTATCAGAGAATAGTTCAGATGAATACTAGCTCAATCTGTGGGCTAACAATCCTACTTATACAGAAGGTAACTTCTATTCCTCAGTGGTATAAATAAGGTCCAAAGAAACAAAAATTTGGAGATTTCAGTTTGTAAGTATATGCTTTGTCCCTTCTCTGCTAATATGAACTCACATAACTTTAGCCTGTGCTTATGAAAGTTAGCTACTTGCTTACATTCAAGTTACAGTATTGGCAGGCTCTACTTCATTATTAGCTTTTATGCTCAATCTCCTGCTGTGTATAACTTGAGAAGAGAGGGAAGGAGAGAAGAAGTAAGCAAAGCTGAGAGTTCTAAAGAGAGAAATGAAGGAAGAAATTCAATGCAATAGTAGACCAGAAGAGACGGGTTACCATTAAAAGGCAAATAAATAAATAAATAAATAAATAAATAAATCCAAATTTCTCAGCAAGAACTTGTTTTTTGCTATAAAATGCATTAAACAGGGCCTCCCCGGTGGCGCAGCGGTTGAGCGCTGGGTTGCGAAGCTGCCCGCGGCCTCTGCGGCGCCGGTTCGATCCCCGGCTGCTCCCCGGCCACCAGAGGAGGGTCCCACATGGCGCGCAGACCTCTCCTGCCGCCCGCTGCTCCCCTCAGCAGTGTACTTCGGTCCTTCTGCCTGCTCTGCACCCCGCTCTGGCTCTGGTGAATTCTCTCACCCTCCCGTGCTTCTGACTGTACCCAGTGCATGTATAAACAAAACAAACAAACAAATAAAGAAAGAAAGAAATAAAACATGCCTCTATTAAAAAAAAAAAAATCTTTAAAAAAAAAAAATTATTAAAATGCATTAAACAACAAAGCCCAAGTAAACCTGTCACTCCTTGGATTTAATACTTTTGGATGTGTTCCTTTACATCTATCTGCAATACAATTTACTGTTCCTCCTGAATTCTTCTTGATGACACAATATGTCAGTGATAAGGAAATCCATGCCCCCTAAAGTAAAAACACTATGTCTTGTGGGAAAATTCCATTTAAGCGCTTTTACAGAGACCACTTCTTATACTCAAATCTGTGTAAGCCCATCTTATTCCACATCTTAGACAATGACAAATAGAAAGAAACAGATTAGAATGTAGATGAGAAAAATATTTTAGGTTAATTCCTGTGAATTCAGGTATTATTTAGTAGTCAGAGTGTGTTTAGTAAATCAATCAGAATATTCAGTTACACAGTTTTAAGCGTACTCATTTCTATATAAAAGAGAAAACCTCATATAAAATGCCAAAATCAGTAATTAATGTTTTGACATCTATAACATCATCACAATGCTGGTGCTTGTATTCAGCATTCCTACAAAGCTCTAAGAGGTCTGAAAGGGAGACCCTGTAGCAGATCTCTTCTTTCTACATTTTGCACATTATGTACCTCCAAAGCCAAGGCTGTCTTGTCGTAGGCATTAGGGACTCGCTTCTGGATTACCCTGGCATAAATGGGCCCATTCTGGAGGTTAGGGAGCGGAGTGTTGACGCTGGGTTGGGCATAGGGCCCAGGCTCCGGCCCACCCAGTGGCTGTGGGTGGGAACCCTCCTGGTTACCTCCAATCAGAGCCGATACTGTGGCAGAGGCAGGTCTATACTTCTCCACGTAAGGGACTGGAATCATCCCCCTCTTGCCTTCGCTGTCCTCCGCATTCCACCATTGCTCTTCAGGCTTATCCCGGATTCTCAGGATGTCTCCTTTCTTAAAGGGAAGATCTTCTTCATCATTCCCATTAAAGTCAAAGAGGGCTCGCACATACTCTGCCTCCTCTTGCCTGAGAATCACTCCACTACCCTGCCTGGATCTGGAAACTGGTTCTATCAACGTTGTAGTGTCCAAATAGTGTATTTTGTAGAATTCCAGTAAAGCAGGTAATGAATCAAACTCTTGATCTCCTATTCGGAGTCTGGAGGGGCTCACCCCTGGAAAAAAACAGAGCAGGGTGTCACTTAGAAATGTATTATACAGGAGACAAAAATGCAAATTTTTTAAGCATTTCCCACACATCTAGTCAATATTCCACCAGGGAAAAAAAACTATCTAGAAAAAAACTACCCCTTCTTCTCATATTAACTGAAATCAAACTTTGTAGCTGAAACATTCCCTTGAAGGAACCATGATTGGCCATGACACACCGGGCCAGTCAGGATGTGCTTTCATACTAGATCAAGACAGAGCAACATGGAGTCTTTTCATCCCCAAATGTACTGCTGCTATCCCATTTACAGAGTAGCTCAAGTTGAAGTTGCAATCTTCAACCTCAGGAAATGCAGCAACTTTTCATAGCTCCCAGCAGTTTTACCAGGAGGGAGAATTTTGTATCTACACTAAACTCTCACAATCCTTCTAAGAATAAAAACACTTTTAAGACTAACTTTTAAGGCCTCCCTGGTGGCGCAAGGAGTTAAGCACCGCACTATGAAGCGATCTGCAGCCTCTACAGTACAAATTCGATCCCCGGCCAGCCAGAGAGAAACCACATGGTGAAGCAGAACTCTCCTGTCTCGCCCGCTGCTCCCCTCAGGGGTGTATTTCAGTCAGTCTGCCTGTTCTGTTCCCCACCGTGTCTCTGGTGAATCCTCTCAACCCTCCCGCCCCCTCCGCCCCCCACATGTCTGGCCTGTATTCCAGCTCTTGTATGCATAAAAAAATCTTAAAAAAAAAAAAAAAAGACTATCTTTTAATGGGGCCTCCCTGGTGGTGCAAGGGGTTAGGACACAACCTATGAAGCTAACCACAGCCACTGCAGCACGAATTTGATCCTTAGCAAGGGAGCTACCCACATGGCGCAGCAGACCTCACCTGATTTGCCCGCTGTTCCCCTCAGCAGTGTATTTCAGTTGATCTTCCTGTTCTGTTCCCCACTCTGTCTCTGGTGAATCCTCTCACCCCGCCCCCCACCTCTGGCCTGTAACCCCATTCTTGTATGCATAAATAAATCTCTAGGGGCCTCCCTGGTGGTGCAAGGGGTTAAGATGCAACCTGTGGGGCCTCCCCGGTGGTGCAGCGGTTTAGCACTGGGTTGCAAAGCTGCCCAGAGCCTCTGAAGCGCTGGTTCGATCCCCGGCTGCTGGGCGAGAGTCCCACATGGCGCACAGACCTCTCCTGCGGCCTGCTGCTCCCCTCAGCAGTGTACTTCATCAGTCTGCCTGTCCTGCTCCCCGCTCTGGGTGTGGTGAATTCTCTCACCCTCCCGCACTTCTGACTGTACCCAGTGACTGTATAAATAAATAAATCAATCTTAAAAAAAAAAAAAAAAAGACGCAACCTATGAAGCAATCCGCAGCCTCTGCAGCACAAGTTCGATCCCTGACTGGCCAGAGAATGACCCACATGGTGCAACAGTGTACTTCAGTCAATCTGCCTGTTCTGTTTCCCCACTGTCTCTGGTGAATCCTCTCACCCCCTGTACCTCTGGCCTGTACCCCAGCTCTTGTCTGCATAAATAAATCTTTAAAATAAATAAATCTCTAGGGCCTTCCTTGTGGCGCAAGGGTTAAGACATAACCTATGAAGCAATCCGCAGACACTGCAGCACAATTTTGATTCCTGGCCAGCCAGGGAGCAACCTACATGGTGCAGCAGACCTCTCCTGACTCGCCCGCTGCTCCCCTCAGCAGTGTACTTCAGTCAATCTGCCTAGTCTGTTCCCCACTCTGTCTCTGGTGAATCCTCTCACCCCTCCCCCACACCTCTGGCCTGTACTCCAGTTCTTGCATGCATAAATAAATACATCTTTAAAAAATAAATAAATCTCTAAGAAAAATAAAAACTATCTTTCAAATCTTATTTGCTGATCTCAATTTCATTTGATAGTCATTAAATGGTTAATTAGCAGGCCTCCCTGGTGGTGGGAGGAGTTAAGCACAGCATTGTGAAGCTATCCATAGCCTCTGCAGCAGTTCAATCCCCAGCCAGGGAGCTACCCACATGGCACAGCAGACCTCTCCTGTCTTGCCACTGCTCCCCTCAGTGGTGTATTTCAGTCCATCTGCCTGTTCTGTTCCCCGCTCTGTCTCTGGTGAATCCTCTCACCAACCCCCAACACCCACACCTCTGGTCTGTACCCTTATTCTGGTATGTATAAATAAATCTTAATGTATTCCCTCTCTATTCTGAGATTCTAGAATTCAAGGATAAGTAACCATATATCAGATCAAGTAAGAAATAAAATGTCTAATGAAAAATACAAACCTTTAACTTGCACTCTGCTAGGCACCCAAAATATCACCTTATTGGATTTTTTTATCTTTTGAGTACCTGGTAAAGTTTTTTAATCAGTCATAACCTTTTCACAGGATACTCTAAGCATTTTAAGTTATAACTTCTCAGATTAAAAACAACCCCCCAACTATTTTTATATGTGTACGTACATAGTAAGTACGTATACACACACACACACACACACACACAACTTATGTAATAAAAACTTCCTCATACTCTTCAAGGACATGGCTTTTTTTGGTAAGATTTATTTATTTATGCATACAAGAGCTGGGGTGCAGGTCAGAGGTGCGCGGGGTGAGAGGATTCATGAGAGACAGAGTGGGGAACAGAATAGACAGATCTACTGAAATACACTGCTGAGGGGAGCAGCAGGTGAGACAGGAGAGTCTGCTGTGCCATGTGGGTCACCTCCCCGGTTGGGGATCGAACTCATGCTGCACTGTCTGCGGATAGCTTCATAGGTTGTGTCTTAACCCCTTGCACCACCAGGGAGGCCCACGGACATGACTTTTAATGGTTATAAAATAGTCCCAACTTCCTACTAGAGCAAACGATGTTACGAGTGTTTCTGTTCCTATTTGTTAATGAGCATTTTTTTTATTACTTCCTTGGATAAACCTCTTGAAGTGCAACTACTGGACCAAATGGTAGTAACATTAAGGTTTATGTTGCCAAATTGCCTTGCAAAAAGTTTGTTCAATTTTATACTCCCAACAGTTTATGAGTTTCCACTTCCCCCATCCATGCCAAAACAGCATTTAAAAAATCATTTCCAACTTAATAAGATCTCTCTCTTTTTTAAGATTTATTTATACATACAAGAATTGGGGTACAGGCCAGAGTTGTGAGGGGTGAGAGGATTCACCAGAGAGAGTAGGGAAGAGAACAGGTGGATCGACCAAAATACATCGTTGAGGGGAGCAGTGGGCAAGACAGGAGGTCTGCTGCATCATGTGGGTCATCTCCCTGGCCGGGGACTGAACTCGTGCTGCAGTCACTGCAGACAGCCTCAAAGGTTGCATCTCAACCCCTTGCACCACCAGGGAGGCCCTGAGAACTGCTATCTCTTTTTAAAGATTGTTCTATGCTTTTCATGTTTATTACGGACAGCCCCATAGATTACATCTCAACCCTTTGAGCCATCAGGGAGGCCCCACGAACTGCTCTCTTTTTAAAGATTGTCCTATGCTTTTCATGTTTATTAACTATTTGTACTTCTATTTATTTTACTTATTTATTTATTTATACATACATACATACATACATATGAGCACTGGGTACAGTCAGAAGCGCGGGAGGGTGAGAGAATTCACCAGTCAGAGCAGGGAGCAGAGCAGGCAGAAGGACAGAAGTACACTGCTGAGGGAAGCTGGGGGGGGGGCGCAGGAGAGGTCTGCACGCCATGTAGAACCCCCGCCCGGTGGCCGGGGATCGAATTGGCACTGCAGAGGCTGTGGGCAGCTTCGCGACCCAGCGCTCAACCAGTGCGCCACCAGGGAGGCCCAGAATTACACAAACTTCAATGAGTCTTTTTGGAAGACATGCTTATCAGAACAAGCTCTCTTTAATCGTTTGAGCAATTCTCTACTTAGAAGAGTTAAACTGCTACCAATTTTTCTATTTTCATAAAATTATTTTCACTGGGGTCAGACCCATCCTCTAGTAATTTCATAAAGGAAACTTGATTCATTTATCAGGCTTTGTTTAAGTCTCTTTTTCTTGCTTTCTGTTACTTGGAGTACCCATTTGTGGTATGATTTTGACTGCATACAGTTTTCCTGGGTCAAAATTTGCAGGAGAGGTCTGCACGCCATGTGGGACCCTCCTCTGGGGCCGGGGAGCAGCTGGGGATCAAACCAGTTGCTGCAGAGGCTGCAGGCAGCTTCGCAACCCAGCACTCAACTGCTGTGCCGCTCAACCACTGCACCACCGGGGAGGCCCTATTTGTACTTCTTTTGTGAAAGTCATTTGTTCAATTCTTTAAATCTATCTTCTCCACTCCTACCAACATTGGCCCATCCACCAAAAAGTTATAGTGATTAATGCTGCCCAACAGTAACATTATGGAAGCCCATTTGTCTAAACTAATTTGGCATTCTAAAAAATAAGACCTAATTATTTTATTCAATGTTAGAAAACAGTTCTTGCAGGCCTGTTGGTGGCGCAGGCGGTTGAGCACAGCGCTGAGAAGCTGTCCTCAGCTTCTGCAGTGCAGGTTTGATCCCAGCCGGCTGCAGAGATACCCACATGGCGTGGCAGACCGACCCTGTCTCGCCCACTGCTCCCCTCAGGAGTGCATTTCAGTCAGTCTACTGTTCTGTTCCCTGCTGTCTCTGGTGAATTCTCTTACCCTCCCGCACATCTGGCCTGTACCCCATTCTTGTATGCATGAATAAAATAAATCTTTTTAAAAAAAAAAGAAAGAAAACACTTCTTGCAAAATGAGTAGGAAAAATTCACTGGGGAGAGTTGAAAAGATAAACTTTGGAAATTAACTGAAAGTCCTCAATACAGAATGAATACTGATGAGTGCCTTCTCTTTTCACCCAAATGAATGAAACCAATAACAATTCAAAGAACAGTTGCAAACTTCTTACATTACAAAAAGTCTACCTTTGAAATTCATGGCTATACATTAAAACAAGTTGAGCCTGCCTGGTGGCGCAAGGGGTTAAGTCTCAGCACTATGAAGCTA